TGATCTTAAATAAATCATGAACTGAAAATATCATTGACTTCAATATAGAAAATCAAAAAGTCATATTTAATCGTACCAGCTTGAACTCTCAATTCTATTATTTAGATATGTCTTATCCAACCAAAATCTCTATATTTTAGGATGAAGTGAGTATTTTATTAGTTTAATTTTAAAACTTAAAATTAATTGTTAATCAGTTGTAGCCAATATAGATTGCTTTTAATATAAGCATTATAATTTTGATTTTGAAGATAACCAACATGTTTAATATAATATTAAAATTCAAATACATATAGTATCAGTCCATAAAAACCCGTCCATCGTTCGGGTTGATGACTGGTACCATAATAAGACCTCATGGAGAGTTCGTCAGCGTGCTGATTATTCACTCTATCTCTCCCCTCCCAATTAAGCTTAGGCAATACATACAACTGGGCAACTGATTCTGTATAATATTGCTGTGTCGCGTAGGTAGTTTAGGTAAGTCAATTTTCGTCAATGTCTAATAACTGTCATATGTGTGCGTGTGCCGGCATTATGTGGCTTTGCACAATAGTAGTACTATCTATATTCATATTGGATACGCACAGTTAACCTAATTACGTTCAAGTTGGACACAGATCCATCCAGTGATCGACAGGTTGCGAAAGCGAGCAGTTTATAGTTAAGCGTGATAGATTGGAGGGTGGACGACGCATCAAACTCTCATCACTCTTTGGCTAAAATATATGTTCAGTTTGCGCAAGAAATTAAGCACGATTATTCAACGACTAAAGACTCCGCTCGCAGTCTTTCCTTCTGTTTCCCTCTTCCTGTGTCGCGCGTATGAAGTATTAAAGTGTAGTCTAAGTAGCACAGGTGGAGAAACAATATTTGGTCGGTCGACCAAATTCCACAATAATCCCGGTTCTATTAAAAACCGGGACAAAAAACGATTTTTATTCCCGGTTAAAAAAAATTGATCTAACACCAACCGGGACTAAAGATGATTTTTAGTCCCAGTTCATCCCCTGTTAGATGTATGTCAGGGGACCGAGGATCTTTAGTGCCGGTTGATACTACCAATCGGGACTAAAGATTACCACTTTAGTCCCTGTTGGTAATACTAACTGGGAGTAAAGATCGATCTTTAGTCCCGGTTGGAGTTATCAACCGGGAGTAAATATTTCTCTCACACTTCTAATCGGTTAAGTCCCAGACATATATTTAGATAAGATTGGAACATCCCCTCTCTTCCTCCCCCTCCTCCCCTTCCTCTTCTCCTCCCTCCCATCAGCCGCCCTTCCTCCTCCACCCCTCTACTCCCTCTTCCATCAGCCGGCCGGCGGCGGCGCAGCCGCGTGGGGGGAGGCGGCGGCGGGCAGGAGGCCGGCGGCGGTGGGCAGGCGGGCGGCCGAGCGCTGGTTCGTTTGCTTTTCTTTTTTTTATATAATTTGTGTTTCACTGGATGTATAATTTTTTATATTTTGTGATTCATTGCATCGCATGGATCTGAGATGTATAATCTTGTATAATCTGTGATGTATTTAATTTGTGTATAGTTTTTTAGGATTTGTGATGTATTTGATCTGTGTGTAGGATTTATGATGTATTTGATCTGTGTCTATAAGTAACTTAATATTTAGGATGTTGATTTGGGGATGTGCATCCCATTCGATTCGGGAGAAAATACAGGGATTAACACTAGCCATTAGCAAATCAACAATAAAATAAAAAAAAGATCTCGAGAAACTGTCGCTTCCCCTCTTACTAAAGATTCATCCTCTTTACTCCCGGTTGGTGTTACCAACCGGGACTAAAGATCCGGTTATTTGAACCGGGACTAAAGATAGCGATCTTTAGTCCCGGATTCGTAGTCCCAGTTGGAAAACTGAGACTACAAAGGGTTCTAAACCGGGAGTAAATAGCATTTCTCCACCAGTGTAGACGAAAGGTACGAGAGAACAATTAATATATGACATTTTTTTAGGGAATATAGGACATTAATAGGTATAGACTTCATTACTCACTTATTCATTTTTAGGTATTTAAAGTATACAACTCCATAGAGAAATGTCCAGAGATTTTTCGGCTAGCTCTACGAGACCATTTCCTAATATTCGTAGTATTTTTTTAAGTATATGACTACATATACAAAAATTCTTACCAGTGAATATTCTCCTAAGAGACCTGACTACTATACGGCATGGCTGTCTCTAAAAAAATTGAGGTCTTGGGACGAAATTCAAATACGACCCTACAATTAGAAAATACTTTTATTCCCTTAATTTCATATTACCTTTGGAAAGTAGTAATTGGGGTGTACGCAGAATTACAAGGAGTTTGAAATTCGGGGGTAGTGAGTAGATTATATATATAAAGATAGCTCGAAAACAGGGCAATAGATTTACTCTAGAGGTCATATATTCTCACATTAATTAAAGAAAGTAAAAAAAAATTAAACCGTTAGATCAGAATGGGTCCAGATTATAATGGTGTAGAACGGTTGATATAAACATTTTACAGCTGTATTTGTGGAAATAGAACTTAGAGTTATATATCATGTCTAAATATGCTTCAATTATCGAGCTTCGCGTAAAGTTGTGCAGGGTAATCTCGTAATTCATATAAACAAAGCATGTTTTCACTCAATTATATATACAACTTCAATACATTATGATTTTACCATACTACATAGGAATATATCGCATAGTAATGTTTAAAAATGCAAAATTAGTACTCAGGCAATAAACCGACCTCTTGTTCTACATGAGATTTTTTTTTCTAATTGAGTACAGTACTTAATTAATTAGGATTTGAGGGGGGCAATATTCTAGGCCCTGACTACCTTGCCAAACGGTATTGACCATTTAGAAGAGTTTGTATATAGAGTTATATATAATAGACCTGCTAGGTAGAAGGTAGTGGTATTATTTGTAATATTGTTTGAGTGACGTGGCACCCCCTGTTGTGCGCGAGATTTGCTAGTGACATTCATATGAAAAAAAAAAAGAAGAAGAAGAAGAAAAAAAATCTGCTGACCGACGCTTGACCAATGGATCGAGCTATCGTCGACGCTGTTCATACGATCGACGGTCACGCTCGTGGTGTTCATACTTTGGGCGCCGTTGCACTTGCACATGCAACGCGCGCTTCCTGCGGCGGTCAACGGTCAAGTGGAGCAAGACTTTTCGTCAGTCTGGTTTGGTTTGGGTACGTAGCTGCCGTTTGGAACAAACTGCGTCGTCGTACAAGCCCAGAAGACACACTTTACATCGTACAGTACAGGTCCGTGTCACGCCCGTACAAAGTTCAGCCGAAAATGGCTCCTCGGCACCATCGCTCTGGTCTGGTCGTTGCTGCGAGTACATATATCTACGGTACATGTGTTTTTTGTGTACTAGTACTGTATACATGTGCGAAGCTGTCCTAGTTAGCAATCCCCGTAAATGTAACCCAGGTGGATGCATATCATCTGCAGTTTAAAATAGCAACCATAAGTTAAGCTACTGTACACAATAACAACCATCCCTTTTTTTAAAAAAAATAATTGAACGGATCAGGTCGATAGCTCCGGTATCGATATACAAGTACTTCACAAATCTTGTCATAGTAGTGATCTACGGTACTGGATGCATCTTGATCCTCGGTTTTGAATCTAACGGATAGCGGTGGACTGCATAAGTTGCGGTGACACTATCGATTGCATCCGATCTAAATCCACGATAGGGCTCCTCCATCCCAAATAAACTCAACCGACCCCTTCTAATACAACTACCATTTATCTAAATTCGTTATCATAGGAGGGATATCCCTCTTAGGTTGAGTTTTCCCTCCGTCCAAAAAAAAAACTAACTTAGGAGGCCTAGTATAATGAATCTAGATAATGTTGTCCAGATTCGTTGTACTCGAAGAGGTCATATCTCTCTTAGGTTTTTTTTTTTTTTACGGAGGGAATAGGAGTCTATTACAGTAACTACTACATGGCATTGTGGCAAAAGTCTTGGAACAACGGTGACTGATTTTGTTGCCTACCCTAGTAGCCTCTCATGTATTTTAGCACATTACTATAGTGATATAATATGAAACGTTAAAATATGATGGTGTGGTTGGAAGTTTTTTCTAAAGCACATGTCTATTTATATCCTTTGTATATATATACCTCTAAATGCAGAGGATCTGAATTCAACCTAGATGCAGTTAGCATAGTTTTCTCGGTTTTATCGTTGGGGGGAAGGATTGAGAATGAGATGGGCCAGAACTTTTTGTTGTGGTGAGCCCAGTGGGAGAATACGGCCCATATCACGAGATGATCATTAATCAGTCTTAATTTAGTTCGTTCGGCCTTTCCCTGAAAAATATTGGGTAAATCTAGCTTTAAACTTTTAATCTGTTATTAATTGTGTGCGGTGTGAATGTGTGATACTAACACAGCAACACTGTACCTACACAGCTCCGGTAGGGATATGTAGAATCTGTTCACAATTCACTCCATAAAATCCTTCTCTTTTTTCTGTCCTATGTATCTCCATTCTCTTGACTGCAAGAAGGGAACGATCTCTTTGTTACCACAACTTAAATTTTTACTCATGTTTTCTGAATTTTATTTAGTAATAAACAAAAACGACATTTGTGTTCTTCTGCTATTCATCCCTGATTCCCAGTAGACAAAAAAGAAAGTAATAGAAAAGGACAAGGTGTATAGAGTTTGGGCCAAAACTATAGATTAGGCCCATATTTTACCGGCCCAATTTGGTTACACGTCGGCCTGTTACCACAATCTGATGCTAATACGAGCTAGGGTTTCCTCGCCGCCGACCCGTCAACCCTATATAAGCGGCATCCTGTTCTTCCGAAACCCACTCATCGTTCCCTTCCGCCGCACCGGTAATATGTGGTTTTCGCTTCTCGCGTTTGTTCAATCTTAATTTGAGTTTCTTTTCTGTTCTCTCTTCTTTCTAGATAGATCTGTTGCGTTTGGTTTTCAGATTGGTTTTACGCGGTTGCAAATCTGATGCAGTTTTGAAGTGATGATCCTTTCCCCAAATTATCGACTATGATTGTACTGTGCGATTTTTGCAAGCTCTTCTCTTCGGAGAAGGCTTCTAAGCCAGTAGTTCTGATCAAACCGCTACATTTGATTTGCATCTGATTTGGTTTCGTTTCTCTGGGAGTTCATCCACTAGATCTGTTTCTGAGTTATTCATCCGCGGTGTTCTGATTTTCGCCTGTTGTTTTGGTTGAGATATTATATAATCTTGATGGAAGTGAGGATCCTTTCCCCAGCTGATCGACTATGATTATACTGTGCGCAAATGTAATCCCTCTTCAGAGGATTCAAGCCAGAAATCTGATCCATCTGCTATTCTCAACACAATTTCAGCTTTGTATTTTTGTTTTGCAGTGTTTTTTTGCGCGACCCTTTTTTGTTTGTTTGTTTGTTTGAATGGAAGTGAAGATCCTTTCCCCAGATGATCGACTACGATTATACTGTGCGCAAATGTAATCCCTTTTCGGAGGATTCAAGCCAGAAATCTGATCCATACAGAATGCAATATTTAACTTTACTTTTTGTGGTTTTGTAATTTTTTTTTCTGTACAGTTTTTGCTCGTCCAATTGTTTGTTTGAATGGAAGTGACGATCCTTTCCCCAGATGATCGACTATGATTATACAGTGCGCACAAGTGACCCCTCTTCGAGGAGGATTCCAAGCCAGAATTCTGATCCATTTTTTTATATAGTTTTGGTCCGTTCTTTGTTGTTTCGGTCTTTTATTTTTCAGAAGGGAAACAATGAGGCAGCACGAAGAAGTGAAGAACGGACAAATCCTTCCATTTAAGAAAGAAGACAGCAAATGGCATACGCGAGTACACATCACCAAATACAGAGTGGAAAAATTATCAACGAATATCCAACTATAAATTGTATGTGCTTTCAATTAGAGATACTTAAAAAAATGAGAAGAATGAATCACAAATATTAGTTATTTGTCAAATTGCTGACAAATTTTCCATGTCACCCGTAAATGTGGACATGTGGTTGCTTGGTGACAGTCTGCTAGGCAACTGCAATACCCGATATCACTCGCCGTTAGCATTCAGAGCCTGGACAGTTCTGCATTTGCATTGGAGGAGAAACATTCAGAACTTACACGAGCATTCGCATTGGAGCCTTGGAGGAGACAATCAGAATCTACACTATAAATGGCCGAAGGGGCTGCCTGCCTGGTCTGAGGGCAGTCGGGCCGTCACGGACCAACAAACTCACTGTGACAGGCCGTGCCCGCTCATGGGCTGCACTATGGCCCTGGCACGGCCCAATAAACTCGGACCGTGTCGTGTCGAAGGCATGATCAACCCACCGTCCTTAGCTTTAAATAAGTATATTTTGACTCCCTCATTTCTAAAAAAAATCGTGCGTACTAGTACTGCATTTTGTTGTTAGCAGATTTATCGATACACGACAGAAGTGCTCTGAGGGTAGTGCTCTTATCAGGGCATCCATGATGTAACACAAAAGTGACCCAAATAAAATGTAGCCCATTCAATCCGTAGCTCAACGTAGCTAAATATCCAAACTTTCAATCCTCTTTGTTTAGGATTATAAACTAATTTATGTGCAAAAAATCTTATGCTATTAAACAAGCGGTTTTTTCGTTTCGCCTTTTTAAAGTCGTAAGCTACTCTTGTGCTATTAAGCCAAAAGCTAAGTCAGAAGCTTTTTTTTAAGCTTATATAAGGTAAAAAAAATATGACTCTACATTTAAAGTTAGAACTTTAAAATCCATTAGCTTATAAGTCACACACACACACACACACACACATATATATATATATATATATATATATATATATATATATATATAAGAAAAGCTAACTTGTTATTATCATTTATGACATACCTGGCTAAAGCATGGATTTGTATGGCTTGGTACCAAAATGAGTCTGGCTAAGCCCACCACAACACAGCTAACATATTGTAGTACTCTAGTTGGGCATAAAACGGATAAAGATTAAGGTTGAGGCCGGCAAAATTTTATTAAGAAACAAGTTTTTGATTGCCAATGTTTTTCTAAAAAAAATTAAAGTAAATATCACAAAACCTCTAGTATTATGGTCTGAGTTTCAAAATAACCATGGAGATTTTAGTCTATCCAGATATCTAGAGTTATTTTGATACTTCTCTTCCAGTAAACCACACCCCAACCACATCTTAGCAATGATGATATGTGGGACCCGCTGAGGCCTGGGTAGGGTTGACCTTCTCTACTTCATGTAGGACTCACCGCTACCTACGTTGTCGCCACCCACGTCAATAATCCTCGATTGTGATGCTAACTCTAGTCCCGTCGCAATCATGTTAACCTCATCCTCATTCGTCACCACTAGTCCTCGCTGTTGTTGCCTCTCGCCTGCAAGCATCATCTGCTTCTCCTCTAACTCGCCGCCACCATCTCTCATCGGACCATCGCAGCTCGACTCCTCGCTGCAGATCTAGCTAGGGTGGGTGCCATGGCACCCTTGTCGCTTCACCACAAGCACCATCGTTATCTATTGCCGTATGTTATTTCGTTGTTCCGTCTATGTAAAACAAATCTAAAGATCTTAGAAGTTTTTTTAAAAGAAAAACACACCGTTTAGCAGTTCGAGAAACCCGTTATCGAAAACCCATATAAAATTTAAATCTTAATCAGAAAAGAATAGGGCTTTTTATATAAGCATTACTTTAAAATATTAAATAATAATTTTTTTATGTTTGGAACAATTAAAACTTAATTAATTATACTCTGATAACTTTCTCTGCGCTGATTTTATTCTAAATCTATCTCAAACATCAGCTATGTGTTACTATGACTTATGACTACGTTCAACTTTTAATCCCAGTTTACTTGGGGCCATTTTTTTTATTTTTTACGGAAGTTTACTTGGGGCATTGGGGAAGCGAGAAACTTCTTGGTCTAGCTGGAGCCCGAACCCGAGCCCAAAGCGACCGATCCAACCACCCGCATCCACACACCGCACCACCAACCATCGACCGCCTCGCCGGAGAGGAGAGAGAAAGGAAGAGCGCGAGATGGAGGCGGCGGCGGCGGCCGGCGTGCAGCTGGGCACCTCGAAGCCGCAGATCGCGACCCAGGCGGAGATGTCGGAGGCGCGCCTCCCACTGCCCTACCGCGACCAGTGCGCCCACCTCCTCATCCCCCTCAACAAGTGCCGCGTCGCCGAGTACTACCTCCCCTGGAAGTGCGAGCCCGAGCGCCACGCCTACGAGAAGTGCCAGTACGAGCTCGTCATGGAGCGGATGATCCAGATGCAGAAGATCCGCGAGGCGCAGGAGGCCAAGTCCAAGGGCGCCGCCACCATTGGCGTCCCCCTCATCCCTTCCACCGCCAAGCTCTCCTGATCCCCGCTCCGCTTCGATCTGCTCTATTCAGGTGATCCCCCGCCCCGCCTTGTCATTTTGGCCCCTCTAGATTTGGCTCGATTGCTGTGATTGGCTTCGTGATTGCGATTTCAACGCAAATTTTACCCTTCGGAATTCGACGAGCACTACTGATGAACCTTTAGGCTGTAGAGGTATTGAAACTTGAGTTTCCATTTCGGCTGTTTTAGCGGCGCCATCAGTTCAACCTACTGAATTTCTTATACCGGTGCTACAATGTTAGCTAGGGTTTTCACTAGTTGGTTATGAATCCTAACACTACTGGTTTTCACTAGCTGGTTATGATTGGGAGATATAAGTCCAACACTAATTCGTGGGAGAACAATACATGCCTGAATCCTGCATCAGTAACCCAATTTATTTGGAGATCTGAATTTAGTTTTGTTGTCACCAACTTGCTGAATGTTTCGATCCCAACACTTGCCTGATATCCTGCACTGGTATGCACTTTGAATTTCCACTAGCTGTGCTCTTGGTGGTGGGATTCGGATCCTCTGACACGCAGTAGTCAAGTCGAAGACGTGGTAGTACCCATCTATCCGCTGTCCAAAACCATCCGATGGCTCCTGCTTATTAGCCAGTTCTTCTCCACTGCTTGCAAGGTTGCATTGTTAAGGACACGCTGTTCCCATCCACTAGGACCTCTCGTCTGAGCACGTCAACGACCAAAATGCTTGATGTTAATGAGGAGAATGCTGCTGAGAAGCGAATTTGTTTCATTAGTGATTGCTTTGGCCAATACCAAGCGGAGCTCCTTAAGTTAGCCTCCCTTTTCTTCGTAGTGTCCGTGTGGCGGCGCGTGCCGTTGGACGGCCACAAAATTGGGCTGAACCGTTTCTGACCGCTCCAAAGATCAACTCTAAAATTTGCCACCTCAAGGCTAATTTTCTCAAATCGAGGTTGAAATTATTTTTCACATGTTCTATAGCCCCTTTCGCTTTCCAGAGCAAATTATCTGCCTCAGCCCACCGGAGCAGGACACCACCAATGCCATGTTTCTGGCCACCACAGAGCTCACCCGCCACTCCGCAGCCACAGGTGACCCCAACCTGAACAACACTTCCACAAGCTCTGCTTTGTTTCATGGGTACTCGATGACCACAGCGCCATACCACAGCATCGTGGATTTTGTGGCCGTAGGCATGTAATGACTTAGGAGTATGTGCGAACTGCGAAGAAGGCAGGAAGAAAAGGGGAGAACGAAGACCAAATAAGGATCATTGGATTAAAACAGACAGTTGATATAGAGGGGTACTGCACGTCTCTGACTTAACTACTGCATGTCAGAGGATGCAAATCCCTCTTGGTGGTGCTGAAGTTCACGGGAAAACTATGTAGACTTGGGAAACACATAGTCAGAATTCCTGCTGTTTAGCCTGGAGCCTTGTAGCAATGGAGCATTTCAGGTTTTTTTTCTGTTTTAAGCTGATAGTTGCTCTCAGTCACTCAGTGATCTCTAACGTTTTGACTTCTCTCTGTCCCTTAACAGGGTACTTTTCTTTATTTCATTTAGGACAAGTAAAAGCTCTTCTTTGATTAAAATTTATACAGAAATTATGTTTCCCCATGCTTTTGCCTTCCCCCTTCTTAGCTATGCTGGCACACTTTACCTTGTATGACCAGCATTAGTTGTATTCATGTCTACTTATACATAAAGCTTTGTTGTTAGCCAACCTTTTTTTTTTCAATTTTACTTTGTCCTTTCTCTCATGAGCTAAAGTTTATTTGAAATTGACCTCTGGCCTCTGGGTTGATATCAATGGGGTATCCTTTTTAAAGAACGTGACCTGGTTGTTTATACATCTCTTATTTGAGAATAAAGTCCTCTCATTTGATGCATCTCCAATCAGTTGTGTGCATTTATTTGCTTTATTCTATGATTTCCCCTGTTTCTATTCTCATTTACAGAGTGCTGCCTTGACAGCTGACAATTGTTTGGTAGACCTGTGATTTGATGGCATTGGTATTAGTGACCTAGCAATGGAGATCAAGAAGTCTTTCCCAAAATCTTGATTTGATGTTTTATTTAGTTGTAATATGGTGCTTTGTGCAATTTACTGGCCATTTTTTTAAGAAAGCGAACCACTAAAAGTTAAATACTACACGGTCGTTGGTTTATAAACATACAAACAGAACTAGTGTCACTAATTACTAGTTACTGGCAAACCGGATGTAAAATACAGTATCAGAATGAGCAAATGCTGGTGAACAATTATACCAAATTGCTGAGTAATTACTGGATTTGTAGTTCTACTTGCTTTCTTTGCTGAGCCGCTTACCTTCTCTTTGACATAGAAGATCATTTAACTTAACATGAGTGACCAACCTAATTCATGGAAGCAACCATCAAAAGATAACAAGATATAGGGAAATTGATCTGGGACAGAAATGTTGCAAATATGTAGTCTATCTTGTTTTTAGAGTTACCTTCCGTGTGCACCTCTTAAACATTAAGTCCTTTTCTCATCCATGTTTTGTTGAAAACATATTGGATGTGATATTTAAGGAACTGTCCACTGCAAATCATTTGTTTGAAGTATCTAGTAGTAGGAGTATTGCAGTGCAAGTTCTCTTTGATAGTTCCTCTGTGACAACAAGAAACAAAGGACATAATAATGACAGAAGTACATAAGTACAGATAATATACTTTGGCTGCTTCGTTTCTTCTGCTAATAGTAACTGCAAAATGATTCCTTGCACTTATTGTGTATGGAGTACTACTTTATCTTCAGAGTTATGAATCATGACACACTGACATAAATCGTGTTGGCATTTGCAATCTTTTCAACTGTCCATTAGGTGATGAAATCATTCTGTACCTTTAGGCTGTTAGTTTCTGGCATATTGGTAGATCCATACTCTCTACAGTTCAGTCATCATAGTATAGACCGGCATCTTAGATGCTGCAACTATTTAGTCTTCATGCCTTTGATGATAAGTGCTCTTTGGGAGGTTCCTCTCCCATTTGAATGCATCACTATAACCTTTGATGGCATAGACATTGGATGTGTCAGATGGTTAAGTTTGGGGACAGCGGTTTTTTCCCTATCAGAATGGCATGTGGCTCATGTGGTGTTTACTCTGTGCATCCTTTGTTTTCACCTCAACCTGAGTCAGTAAATGCGATGCTGTTTTATTCTGTTTCCTCTGGCACAATTTGGTTCTGTTTTGTTCCTTCCCTGATGGCACTCTGTCTAGAAACTCCATCCGATTTTTCTTTTTTATATAGCACACATTTATCAGTTTATCAGTCATATTGACAATTGGATTCCTTTCGGATGCACAGGGCTGGTTATGACAGCACGAAGGACATTGTGCAAGGATCGTGGATGCTAGTTCTATGAACCAAACATCTGTTTGAATTTAGCATAAAGTTAACTGTTGTCTTCTTCTCTCCGCCTTTACTCCGTTGGTGAGCATCTTCGAGTTTCAATATGAAATAAGGAACTACCTGTTTATACTCAATGACTGAAATGACGCCTTAAAGTTTTGAATGCAATGCGTGGACTCTGCATATGAAGAGCTACTTTAATTCAGTAGAACAACCCAGTTACTCCCAGTCTCCCAGTAACATATCCTTCCATAAGCTCATAGGCTGAAACCTTTTATATGCTCTGTCACTACTGTGTGTAGCATAGGAACTGCAGTTGTTGTTTGTGCTTTAGTTTTGTTGATCCATTGCTTACCTAATTATCTTTAGTCGTGGCCAGTCTTAGGTTATGTGTTCTTCAGGCCGGATTATGGGGATCTGGTTGCTTTTGCAGAACCTGCCTTGATGAGGGCCAAAAGTATATAGGGATTTCGTAGTCAAACGATCTTTTTGATACTCCAAGTCACAACCTATTTTGTCTACTTGGATCACCAACTAAAAACTAAGAGCAATTCCCCCACTACTGGTAGTGTCACCTACTCCCTCCATCCTATTTTAGGCGTAGTTATGAGTATCCGTGTTCAAATTTAATCGTCCGTCTTATTTAATTTTTTTTTTGAAAAAAATAATAAAAAAACATAAATCATGTAGTATAAAGTATTATTTATGTTTTATCATCAAATAATAATAAAAATACTAATCATAACAAAAATTCAAATAAGACGGATGATTAAAGTTGGATAAAAAAACTTATGGCTGTGCTTAAAATAGGACGGAGAGAGTAGAAACTAGTGTAAGGCTTTGTTTGGGAGAGTTTAAGCTGCTTGCATGCTTCTGAGAATTTTGAAAATTTGGGTTTCGCGAGTTTGAGCTTCTACGGTTAGTTTATTTTATAAATTCTATAGCTACAGATACTGAGGATGTGGACTGAAAATTCTGGGAAAATTGGCTTTTGCTAAAAGCTCCCGTAAACGTATGCTAAGTCTCTACAATTCCAAGTCTCTCACTAACATTACTAATTCAATATGATAATTAATCATTATTTCTCTCACATTATGTCTTGAGCTACGCCTAGTAGAAACTACTCCGTACTACAAGATCGGTTTCTTTATCATTCCTCATTTAATAGTTAGATTGTCACATTATATTATTTTAAATAGAATTGTCTAAATACAATAGAACTTTATTTTTCTAAAAAAAACTTGTAGTGGGTTTATAGCTTTACAAAATTCTGGGTGGCGCTTGTGGATGGTTGATGACTCTAAAAGACGCTATCATACTGGAGTATCTCCTATGTATGCGGCGCTGGTGTTACAAATTCTCCCCTCGTTGCTGTTGACAAGGAGATAATGACATTGGATTCTTCCTGTTGGCAATAATTACAATGCCAAATTGCCAACATCTCATCTCAAGTACTCAACCGGCGTTCGTCCTTTGACATGGGAACAGCGGTCGACTACAATACGTGCCACCCTCGACGACGGCCGCGGCGGGGACGGTGACCCGTTGCAATCAGAGAAGGACGCGGCAGCTGCCTGCGGCGAGGGAGGCAAGCGGCAGCGGAGGGTAGGACAAGACGCGTGCAGCAGCAGCAGCAAGCAGGCAGCGAGATGTGCGATTGTGCATGCATGCATGCGTGCAATTTTGAGTAGTCTGTTGTAGTTGTAGCGTTTAGCCATGGCCCAGGCAGGGGAATGATGATGACAAGGAGAAAACACGCACCACAACATATTATTCCATTCCAAGGGCCCGGCCATCCAGTCAGGCTAGCCAGCTACAGTAACTCATCCCGACGTTTACCCTACATCCTCCATCCTACAATAACCTCTCATTTATCCTAAAATAAGTTTATTTTTTAAATAATTATTTTATTAGAACATGAAAATAAAGAATAAATACATTTGGGGTAGATTATTTTATAAAAATTAATTGTATTAGGATTTGATAAAATGTAAGTATTCTAGTCTCTTTTTTTGTGTGTGTTTGTATATGTGAGATGCGTAAAAAAATAAATTTATTTTAGGATAGAGGGATAGGGGGAGTATTACTCTTTCTGTCCTTGATAAGTTCATTCTTATTAGAGCTCCTAACTGATATTTAAATCAGTATGGAAGAAACATAGTACTAAATATCTATCATCCTCGTGTAGAAAAGAAATATTGTTGGAGAGATAGGTAAGAAGTATTAAAATGATAAAATTCTTCGATGACAAAGGGATGATACTATATAAGGAGATAAAACTTACTACTCTGGGATAAATATTAAAAATGAGTTTATTTTGAAACGGCGGAAATAGACATTTTGGGAGGAGATAGACGGAAAAGCAATTTTGAGGGGAGACAGAATCATCATGCTCGTGGGGGCAGCGCGGGAAACAAACCGGAGTGTGCAGTAGTATCCCCCCCTCCTCACTGGCCCCGTGCAATGATGCCAGCCAGCCCTCTGCGCTGCATCTGCATGCATGCCCACATTGCAACTACTCTCTGCATCTCATCTCATCTCCGGTTGTTGAATCTACTGTTGATTGGGCTGAGATGACAAATGTACAGTTTGTCTCACGGAGACCACTTCGCTAGCCTTGTCATTATCAAGCGACACACTAGTATATTTCAGGATGTAATTAACCCATCTCTCTTATGATTGTTTCTTCTCTTCTTGCCGGAATTTCCACAGCAAAGGCCAAGGGCCAATGACCCAATTAATGTCCAAACAAATGATGCATCCTTGGTAAAGGCTTTTGTGGACTATCCAAATTTTGCTGCAATATCCAGCCCTGATACTTTCCTAGCTAGCACCATGCATTGTCACGGGTTTGTCACAGTGGGCAGCGTCTTCTCCGTCGATGTTTTTCAAGGGTCGGCCAAAGGGGTGCGTCGTGAACGCCTTTGCCGGCCGAGCTTGCAGCTGCTGCTGGTCCAGACTCCATAGAGACAGAGAGAAAGAGAAATCAAATTATGTGCTCATCCACGGCATGCGCCGGTCAATCCCAGCTCTATTTGCAAACACCTCCGGGCATGCAGATGCCCCCACCGCTGCACTCACTCAACTCTCCCCTTTTTCCCCGGCCGTCCGTACACCCATCCAGATCCTCTACAGCCTACACGATGCTACACATATATACCACAGACATATATATACTGCACGTATACAATCTACTACTATTAACATATCCATGAGGATGCACGAAACTGTCTACTCCTACTAGGAGGGTATGAAGTTAGCTAACAATCGGTTTCGCGAAACTTGACTAGCTACATAGACCGACTTAAGAAACACAAACTGCTCGGTTTTTTTCTAATCAAGTTAAAAATAATCAAACTAAATTTTAACAAAAATTTAATCCGATTTTACGGGAGCAAACAGTTTTAAAATGGTTTTAAGAAAAACGACAAACCGTTGACCCCCAGATTTCAACTCGGGAATGGTGTGGTGACCCGTTGCTCTACTAGTAGTAGGGAGTACTTGAAGTGATATGGCAAAGCTATAGACAGTTGACAACTAAGATATATCTCCTCCGTCCTAAAATAAATCAATCTAGTATCTTATATGTAATACGGGTGTCTAGATTTATCGTATTAAAATAGCATATCATATCACTAGTCCAGTGGTATATAAATTGGCATGCATTGGCATTGGGTGAGGATGCGTAAAGGATCAAAAGCCCCGGGTTGAAGGGGGCATGATGAGCCGTATGATCCGCTTGGTTTCCCCTGCATGCAATGATGGCGGCGCTGAGGCTGAGCCTGAGGCTGAGCTGAGCTCCTCCTCTCACCCACAGTAGCTGGCTGCCTCCTGTATCTCAGTATCTGTACATGTTCCCTGGCCGCCTCCTCCGTCTTGCACTAGCTGCTACTGTGCCCGCGTGTGTATGCGCGCTCCTTTGGAACACATCACTGCATAAGGACATGCCCACTTTACTCAAATACGCAACACTCTTTGTCCTGTTTAGTTTGAAAAGCCGGAGTACAATTCAATTGTTGAGATCGATCGGATCGAGTAGTATTAATTCGAGGGTGGATATCATGCCACGTTATTATAGAGTATGAGAATTGTTGGTACTGGGATATACGCGAGATTAAGATAAAGAGACGAGAGACAGGTTTTATACAGGTTCCGACCCCTTAACTGACAGATAACCTTATTTCTGTTGGCCGAAGCCGGTATTGTTTTTATATTTCAGTATCACATAAGCATAATATTTTAGATGACCTAATCTACTTTCTATCGGCTTGACGTCATGGAGCTCTCGCACGTAGTAGATGGCTAGCGTAGTCTTCTTCCTAGAATATGAACTCAACAAGATTGGAGATGTCTCTAAGCTAGATCCCTTTATGGCTTCTACATTGGGTTTGGCTGGGTCTATATTGGCTTGTATTCTGACTTGGCGTGTTGCCTCTCTGACTTGGCATGTCCCCTCCTCATAAGGCGTATTGTATTGATACCCTTGGATGCCCCCTTCAAGTATAACTAGGGAGACAAGTATATATTAATATGAAGTAATCCTTGTAGTGCCCGAGTAGAACTATGTTTTTTCTTTCTTATTCAGCGGTCCAGATTATTAGCTAGATTCTGAAAATCTGATTATATATTCACAAAATGAAATTGAAGCTAGAAGTTGATAACCTAATTTTTTTTCGATCAGATTCTCACGGGATGGCTATCTATCAATTGTTTCCCAGAATCTCGAGTTACCTCAAATAACCTTAAAATCTGAAGTAAGAATCTAAAATGCTTGAGAAAAAAATAGAGATTGTTAGCTGAAGAACCGTAAGTAGCTGTAGCTAATGAAAATCATCCTTAAATTTAGGTTCTCGAAAATTATAGTATGTTTATATCTATGCCAATACGTACGTTGTAATATGTTTAGGATCTCTTCACATCAATTTTTTTTTCGATTTTCTCTCTTTCTACACCATTGATTTGGGCTAGAACTAGAACTTTTTTCCGGCTCCGATAAGCGTTCCATGACAATAATGGCTACCTCAAAAAGCTATACTTCGTAACAATGATATGGACATGATTTTCCAGCCAATAAGGATTTCATATTTCACTTGATTGGTATGGCAATTTTTTTACATGGCCAGTCCGTCACTACTTAAGTAGATGGGTGGGTATATTTGGTATAGTTCTAGTTTTCAGAACACATATAAACTCTTGTTTTATATGACCCATAGTTTTACGAATGACCCTGCGTGCTTAGGACATCCACAACATGGATGAAAAGTGGATAGTAAGGTCACTCACTATTTATTTTTATCATTGTGGAGGTAGGTAGTAGAGGAGGTAGTAACTATAACAAACAATAGCACTACTACCTAGTAATAGGAATAAAAAACATTGAACTCTCTCCTCTGTCTCTTTTCTACCCAACCATTGTTTTACATGTTGTGAGCGGTACAAACAACTATAACCTAGTAGTTTATTGATCCCACCTTATTATTCACTTAATAAATATATATTGAGGATGTCCTTAATTATTGTGACATATATATGGTGCCCTATTAGGTAGCTTGATGGAAGATTTTTCAAAGGCTATCATGCTTCCATTCCTGATGCCTTATGGCTGATCTGTTTATGATTGTTCCTTTGTCGACTGCATGCATGTATGATTCATCTGTTGGTACCAGTCAATAAATTCATTTTGAAGCTTTCTAGCGAGCTCGATTCATCACCGATATTACCGATCCATCCATCGATCGATCTCCTTGGATTGGATCAGCAGGCATGCATGCAGCACCTGCCATCTCTGATTCTCTGCACCCGGGATTATTAATTAACCTCGCCTTTAAGTACGGGAGATCCCGGTCAGAACGCTGAAAGAGATAAGAATATATCGTGATCACTATGCTGCATGACTGCATCGTACGGCCCATGCAGTCGTTAGATTTGGTTAGTTGCGTCTTAATTCGAGGTAATGATCGATCGTCTGATCCTACCTGATCTCCATCATGTTCCTGTTGATATAAGTTGCATGCAAAGGAAAAAAATTTCAAACAAAAACTTTTAAGAAAAATTCGCACTTTATTTGATAGTAGCTTGTACTCCGTCTGTCTCCGAAAGATCACTAGCCTTTTTGTTTTCCCGAGATGAAAAAGGGAAAGAAAAATCTACGATTAGCTTTTCTTGCAATAGATTGGCAACTTTTTGAATCCAAATTCAAAGCCCAATCCTTGAAGCCACGCACTGCACAGCGTCCTACAGACACCTTTATTTTGGTAGGGTCTGAAGAATTCTTCAGAGAGTACAGTATATAGTCCATGCATGCAGGGAGAGCTAGCTAGGAATTTTTCACATCCCATTCAACACAACTCATATCTCGTACACGTATGGGACGTCCGGTGACAAGATTGAGCCTTTATTCCTTTTTTCCCAGGATTGGACACATGCTTTCCTATTTATGCACATGCTATCTGATTTCTCCTGGCAAATATACTGAAAAAGAACAGCTACAAGCTCCTTTGAAATGTAAAATTGAAAAGATGTAGGACTAGAAAAAAACACTGGATTTCATCGTAAATGCAAGTGCAAAACATAGAAAAAAAATATAATAATTACCGTTTGATTATTCCGCATGAAAAATCACTATAGGATTGACTATTACATGGAAAATTTAGAAGAAAGGACATAATTCAATTAATCAATTGTTTCAAACAATTAAAACACAAACAACTAAAAAGATGACATATTACTCCCTCCAGCCCAAATTATAAGGCTTATATTTTTACACGATTTTTAATTATATACTTTGACCGTTAATTTATTCTATTTTATGTTCCAAATGAATACGAAATTAGCATCATACGAAAGTACTTTAAAATATAAATCTAGTGATATAATATGTATAATACTTAGCGTAGATATGTTTGCTATGATTATTAATCAAAAGTTATCGACTTTAATTTTCCTAAAAATAAGAACGTCTTATAATTTGGGACGGAGGGAGTACTATAGTGCAATACCTATTAGACATAAGCATAAAAATTCCGTACATCCTAATCTAACCATTTTATGGTAGTAACCGATGATATCAAATATTTAAAAACGGATGGAAGTATTGGTTATTAACTATTAAGCCACTATTCAAAACTGAATTACTCTCAAGTGGTTAAATTAGTAATTCTCAAGTGAGAGGGGAACTGACCCATGATAGGAAGAAAACAAGGCTGGCTGGGGTGAGGGTGAGGGATCAGAAATATTCAGAATGGTGGTGCAATGAAATGAAATGAATTCAAGGTGCTCGTGCCTACAGGTAGCAAAAGCAGGCAGGAAGGCAGGCAGAGGGGGGAGAGAAGCCAGGTGCATACAGTACATATGTCAGTGGCAATACAGGCGGAAAACTTGGCATGCTTTGCTCCCCGGTGTCTTCATCTCGGCTCGGGTCAACAGCCCTGCTCCAATCTCATTATTATCCCCTCCTACGGGGAGGCATATGCCCTGACCGCATCTGAACACCTTCTTTGTCTCCAACCTTTTGTCTCTTCCTGCTCTTCTCTCCCCTCTCCCCACCATTGCCCCTGCAACCTCCTCTACACCTCATTCAATTTAACACTAGCTTCTCTCTCTCTATAGCTCTACAAGTTGATGAGAAGCTGCAGCGTTATATAAGCCGGGCTAGCTAGCTGTCTGTTTGCAGGTCACTCGTGTGTGTGTACAACAACTATATACACAGTTATACATTCGTGTGTGAAGTGATATATATATGTGCGAAGTGACTGGTTAGCTTAATTAGCTGCCTGGATGATGATGACGATGATGAGCATATAGCTGGTTTTGTTTGTTTGTTTGATCGATCGCTGCAAGTCGATCTTGACATTGTGCTGTTGATCGAACGATCGATCGAGAGGTTGTGAGAGATGACCATGGTGAGGGCGGCAATGGTGGGCGGCGGCAGGGAGAGGAACGGCGGCGTCAGGCAGTACAACCGATCCAAGGTGCCGCGGCTACGCTGGACGCCTGACCTGCACCACTGCTTCGTCCATGCCATTCACAAGCTCGGCGGCCAGGACAGTATGTTCTTCGTCGACCTCATCCTCATCTAGCTCATCTCATATGTGTGATGTGTCTTGATCATACTAGCTTGGGGTTTATCTGCATCTTTTCCTACTCTCTTTCTAGTTCTATATATTTGTTTGCATGTTTCTTCTCTATAGCTAGTTCTAAGCTCCATTTTCATATGAGTACCAGAGGTTTTTATCTTTCTCATGTTGGTGTGTGGGTGTGATGTGCAGAGGCTACACCGAAGCGAGTTTTGCAGCTGATGGGAGTGGGAGGACTCACCATATCTCATGTCAAAAGCCATCTTCAGGTGTAGTTTAATTATCAGTGTTGGCCTTATATGTCTCATGTCCTTGTGACTTGTCTTCTTCTTCGGTTGCTTCTCCTGCTTCCTTTTTAGTAGTATCACTAATGTTGTTTTATGTTCTTTGGAGCAGATGTACAGGAACATGAGGAATGATCTTGGAATGCAAGGTACTTTGCTTTGAATGATCTTGGAATGTTTATATATGTATTATAAACATTACGTACATACTTTTATACACGTACATTCTTTTGTTTTTTTCTTTTAACTTTGCTTTGCAATGTGTTGGCTTTGACTAGCTACTTCTATAGGTATTTTTGCCTGCCAGGAATGGTTCAGGCAGAGCTCTGCTTTTTTCAACAAACAAAAGTTTGAAGTAAAAAGGATATATTCCCCGAGACGTGTCTATCTTGTTGGTCCTGAACTGCAGAGTCTCCAAATATAGCTACTACAGTACTCTACATTCCTCACTGCTAAAACTGTGAAGAATATACAGACCCCAGTTAGTCACAATTCTTATTAACCACCGATGCATACATAATGCAGGAAGATGCATTTTCTTGTCGATGCTACTAGTCTTGAAGGTTGTTAATCACAGGCTAGTCAGAGTAGTGTTAAGGTCTTAAGCACCTTATTTCGCCATTAAAGAAGAACTGTTGGGCACACTTGCTTGTATGCAGATGCATGTGTGCATGGATGGCACACTTCTCAAAATATAACAATTCTTTGAAATTTTTTATACTAATTCTTTGGGCTATACAGTGTTAGTTCCTTTATCCTAATGCTGCATGCAGCTGCTACTAGTAACTCCAGTACTCCATGAGAGGAGGAAAGCTAAGGAAAGAAAAACCTAAGGCCCTGTTTAGATGGGACTAAAACTTTTAAGTCCCTATCACATCGGATGTTTGAAAATTAATTATAAATATTAAACGTAGACTATTAATAAAACTCATCCATAATCTTGGACTAATTTGCGAGACGAATCTAATGAGCCTAATTAATCCATGATTAGCCTATGTGATGCTACAGTAAACATTCTCTAATTATAGATTAATTAGGTTTAAAAAATTTGTCTCGTGAATTAGCTTTTATTTATGTAATTAGTTTTGTAAGTAGTCTATATTTAATACTCTAAATTAGTGTCTAAAAACATGGACTAAAGTTAAGTCCCTGATCTAAACACCACCTAAAACCATTCTTCTTTTGCCAATCTTGTGATCAGGGATACAGGTGCAACAGGTGGATCAGGAGCACACATATGGAGGTGGTGTGGAAGTTTGGACTGATATGCAGCAGTGTGATCATGATGAGTGTGATGTCCCTTGCTGCAGCTGCCACTCCCCAAAGCCTAGAAAGGAGCCACTGCTTCACCTCCAACTGAAAAGGTCATTGCCCTTTATTTGGAGCAATCAGTTTATGCTCTGTCAATCTATGAGCCATCAGTCACATCATGAGCAATTCTTATCACGAATAATGTCAACAGTTTAAAACCATCATTTTGCATTCACTTTACCCTCTAATTCAAATATTCAATTAGATTGTGTTTAGTTCCTAAAATTAGGGAGAAGTTTGAGGAAAGTTGATAGTTTGGAAAAAAAAGTTAGGAGTTTATGTGAGTAGAAAAATTTTAGATGTGATGTGATGTGATGTGATGGAAAGTTAAGTTTGGGGAAAGTTTGGTGTGAATTAAACTATCACATCGAATGTTTGAACACTTGCATGAAGTATTAAATATAGGCTAAAAATATAACTAATTACACAGATTGCGACTAATTTACGAGATGAATCTTTTAAGCCTAGTTGCTCCATGATTTAACAATGTGGTGCTACAGTAAACATTTGCTAATGACAAGTTATTTAGGCTTAATAAATTCGTCTCGCGGTTTACTGACGGATTCTATAATTAGTTTTTTTACCAGTGCCCAAATACCCCATGCGAGACCCTATATAATACCCGATGTGATACGCCAAAACTTTACACCCCTAGATGTAAACACCCCCTAAATATCTAACTATATACGTTGTTAGAAGTTGATTTTTTATAGGATGCAACATCTTGAGGCATCCCATCAATATTTCTAGATAAGTGAAAAACTTGAAAAAAAAAAGGCTACTAGTAATAAGCAAAGGGATGTCTTACTTGTATCCATTTGTGTAGCCACAAATTCTTGTATTATTTTAGAATGGACATAGTAATACTTACTTGATGTGGGGCCTGTTCAGATTTATGTCATTTTAACTCATATCATTATTTGATAAAATTGACAACTGTGTGACAAAATTTAGTTTGTTATAAAATATTTGTCATGCCTAGATAATTGACTACATTATATTAGCCTATCCTACTAAATCTTGGTAATTAATGTTTCTAACTTGTTGAAATTTTGGCAATGATAAATTTTGGAAAGATTGAAAATGACTATAAAGTGAACAAAGCCGTGATGTTTGCATGGCTATAACAAGCAATTCGTATTATATCCACGGGTATGTTTTGAGAAGAATATAGTGGTACTAGTTCTTTTATTAGAATGTTTTGACAAACTTTGTTCTGTTATAGGAGCATTTATAGTTGTGGACCCCATTAGTACAATTTAAAATAACTAGAAACCTTAAAACACAATGATTATTTAGATGGAGCTTAAAATTCATAGATACAGCTGATGAAAATATGAGAAGGGCTTAGTTTTTTAGCTTATAGATTCTAGTGCATTTTGTAGATCTTGTAGCTATTGGTTACTCAGAATCTGAGTATCTATACTGTTTGGAAAGATATAGGTTTTTATAAGACAAATTACAACTGTCAGAAGCCTCTCAAACAGGGCCTAACGTATTATTGTTTTATTGAACGAGCTTCTTATATTCTTCTTTTCCTTTGGTGAATTTTACATAACTAAAATGCACTAGGTATTATAGAACTTCTTGACACCCTAGAATATGTCCACCAATCTAATTTAAAGCATCAAGATTTTCTTTTTGAGAATTATGTCGTCAGATTTGTTATTTGAAGTACTTCCACATATACTACTATATCCCAATACAAATTAAGTTGCAGAAAGTAATGGACAAAGTGGCATCTCAAACACCATAGAAAGTTAAAAACATCTCGAACACACAAAGTCAGTCACACTGAAACTAGATCTGCATGCATAGTTAGCCCCATTTGTCACTAGTGCGACACTAGTTTTGCACGCTGGCACGCTGCACACACGCATGCATGTTTCCCATTTCTATTCCCTTTTTCCTCTATCTCTCTCTCTCTCCTGCAGCAGTGGCATGAATATTGACGAACCAGGCACGCGCGCACGCATTGCCGCGCCCAATGTACGCAGCTGCAGGGACGACGCCGCAGCATCTGCGACGGAGACGCGACGACGACGTGGTGGGAGGCCGGAGGAGGTAGACGACGACGCGAACGCGAGCACGAGCCCCAGAATTAGCCAGCTGCAGCTGCTGCGTCTCAGAGGCCATGGAATACGTGAGAGCGACATGTCACCGTCGACGAGCCTGCAGTGCTACTATGTACGCAGCCAGAGGACGACGACGATGCCGCCGGGCGCTGCTGCTGCAGCAGCCGGCGGCGATGGCGGATCACAGTGCTACGCCGCACCTCGGTACAGCTCTTCCTCCAAGCTGAAATTCTTGGGGTTCGTGGTGACATCGGGGCCTCCTCCTCCTCGTCTTCCTCCTCCTGCTGCCTGCTGCTGCGGCAGCGATGACAACATCCCTTTTCAGGTACTCCGGCCTCCTCATATCCTACTCCCAGTAATAGTACTAGTAGTAGTCTTTCTCGGCTATCCATGGATGTGATTCACTAGTGATCGATCAGAGATTCAGAGGGACAAATCGTATGGATGGATGGATTGGATCATCAATCCACTACTCTGTCTCAGTCTGTCCAAACACAGTAGCTAGCCCGTTCCCCTGCAAATTAAAGTGTTTGTGTGCGTCGACGTTCGTGCAGTGCATACATGCAGCCATGCACAAACCCATGGTGAATTGGTGATGCATGGTAGTGCCTTTTTCTTTTCTTTTTTTTTCATGTCTAGTCTCTGCAGCTTTGCGACACATAAAACATTCACAGTAGCTTGCTTCCCTCCAATCACTCCAAAAAGTCACAAAAGCTCGAAGTGAACAGCCGGATAGTCCCTACCTTTCCCTTTTTGTCGTAAGGAAAAAAAAATCAACAGTAAAAGTTCACTTTAACCGCTGATTAATTACCACGTGGCGCTGTTCATGCAGGTCGGCACGTTTGCCCCACACCGCGTCGCGCCGCCAACGGCGAGCTGCGGCGGCGGCGGCGGCGGCGGCCGCGCGGAGGCGCGCCCCTCGTCGTCGTATCGCTCGGTGTGGTTCGAACCGGCCGCCGCCGCCGCCGCGAGCAACAACGGCGTGGCGCCGGACGGCGAGCACGACGACGGCTGCTCGCTCTCGCTCTCGCTGGCGTTGGACACGGGATGCGCCGGCGCCGGCGGCAGCCTGGTCTCGTCGACGACGTCGTCGTCGTCGGGAAGCCGGATCAGCCTCGACTTGTCGCTCTCCACGCTTGACTCGTAGAGCGTGCGTGCGTGCGTGGCAGCGTGAGATGTTTGGGCCTTTGTGGGCTTTGTGGGCCGTTTTGTCGCCTGATTTTGATGTAGTTTTAGGCCCAACAAGGCAGCTCATATATGGGCCTCTTATTCAGGCAGCTCATATAGTTTTTCTCTTGGGCCGCGAGCTGCTTTCACATATGGGCCTCTTATTCAGATTAGCTATTCACCAATCCTGGAGAAAGCACGAATCTCGATGCCCCGAATTTCTGCACCTCATGCGGTTATACGTACAGAGATCAGGCAGAAATTTCCCCGCAAAAAAAAAAAAAGAGATCAGGCAGAAATAACACACCTTAACTTTCTTCAATGGAAGCAACCAAGGCACCAAGCAACAGCTTAGCCTTTTTGAAGTGGCAAATTCAAGCTTCAGTACCGTAGGTCTGTGGCTAGCTTTTATGAGCCCAAATTTAGTGGGCATGTTCTTCTCCATTCTCTTCATGTGTACTGTAAATACAGGGGAAATTTGTACCAGGTTCAAGGTTGTACGTTTCTCTTCTGTTGAAATGGAGTAGTAGCATGCATGAATTGTCAGCTTCTACACGGACATATGTCACAGTGCTTCACGCGGATTGAACAGTAAAGTGCAGACAAAATCAAACTAAGCTCATTGGTGCACATGGGCAACAAATGCAGTATAAAGCCTAACCCAAGTTACCTTTTTGTAGTAGGAGTATATCTGAGAAAAAGTCATGCAGTTGGTACTTTTACGGCGTCTACAACTACAAGCCAGTTCAGGAATACATGTAGTTGATCTGAACTTTAGACAGAATTGCAACAATCGGTGTCACCACCAGATAAAGTAATCTGAATTCAGATCGACTAGCTTGCTTCCCGAACATGTTGAGCAATATTTGCTCTTCGTCAGAGGCACTAAAAGCCCACAGTTTAGTCGTACAACATTGGCTCAACAAGGGAAAACGAAGGTTCAAAACTTAGAACTTCACACGGCGGGCGGCTAGTGGCGGAGCTCCTAATTTCATTCTTACCCTGAAAGTAATCTAGCTCCCAGATAGGAAAAAGCAAAAAACAAGTGGAAGTAAATGCGACGGAAATTTGGGGGGGATTTGGTTCCGTTTGACGGTTTCGGAAGCCCCGGTCCATGTTTTGGTTGGAGCAATTTGATCACCGCGCCACGCTGTTCCGGATGACCGACCGAACCAGTGGAAGGAATTCCACCGTGACAGACTCGATCGATCGGGCGCGATTTTTTTTCCGGGAAATCCAAGCCATCCATGCCTACAAATACGCGCGAAACGGCCATTGGGTCGCGCACGCTGGAGCCGCCGCGAGCCATTCCCCCCGCGAACACGTTAAAACCCTTTTCCGGTGGCCGGTGTAACGCGCGCATACGTCTGATCTCGCATGGCCACGGCGGATGAGGTCGGCGGCGGCGGCGGCGGTGGTGGCGCCGGAGTTGGAGCGGGCGATCAGGTGAGGAGGGCGAAGACGGCGGCGCTGTTCCTGGCGGCCGTCGCGCTCCCGTGCCTCGTGCTGTACCGCGCCGCCGTGTCGCCGGCGGGGCTGTTCCTCCGGCCGGCCGCCCTGCCGGCGCCGCCGCGCGGCGACGTCGACCCGGTGGTGAGTTGTTCGCCCGCCTTCTTCCTCTAGGATGATCAAGGTGTGTATACGTAAACGATGAACACGTCTGTCAGTCACGTACGGCTGAACTGAAGGCTGTTTTTGTTGGCAAAAATTATTTTTCTTTAATCAGCTTGTGATTCATGTTCATGATCACCAGAAAATGCAGGAACACCTCTTTGCATCTCATTGATTTTTTTTTTGGGTGCAAAAATGGTGGACGGTTAAAATTCCTCATTGTTAGCAGTAGTAAATAGTTAAATACTCCACTGTAGAGGAAGAATAGTAAAACTGATGAGAGCGATGGTGAATTCGGGAGATCCACCAATTTGAGATAAGATCAGTGCCTTCGCAAATTGCAAATTGTTTTTTTTCGCGAACGCTTTTATTTCCGCGAACGCGCAAATTGTTTTCAAATGGTAAGGCTTTAGTCTAAACTGTAAATTATGTTGACAATGTGAGTGCTGTTAACCTCCTCATTTGGCTTCTTTCTAGAAACACTATTATTCAATTGCAACGTGCCAGAAATTTGCTCCCAGGTTAGTATGTAATTCAACCCTGTGATGCATGCACCCGAGAATTCACTCCCAGAAATGAAATTTTACTCGTCCTGTAGCAGGCCTACAGCGTTTGATTGGCCACGGCACTTAAAAACTTTTTTTTGACAGTCGACATCCATGCCAAAATGCCAGATTACTGGCATGGTTGGCATTCTTAGAAAGCAACATGAAAAACTGTCTGCCAATCAAATTAACAGACTAGTACATCTCTTCTATTGGCAAAGGCATCTTTTGAAATAGAGGATTTTTTAAAGAGAATTTCACGGGAATTGGACTGATTCATGTGAAAATCCGGCAAACTTCATTCATTTCAAACTAGTCGTAAAAAACACAGGAATGGTAGTTACATTTGAACATCTATTTTTTTTTCTTAAAAAAACCTGCCACAATAGTAACAGCACACTATTCATCTGAAATTTTTTTATTTATATTTCTCTTAAACTAAGGCAGCGTTCGAGAGGGTGAGAGAGTGAGTTTGTTTGTTTCGTTTTCTGCGCGCACGTTTCCCAAACTACTAAACAGTTATGGGTGAGGGCAAGGGCACCAAGGCTTTGCGCTCAGCCTCGAGCGCCGTCATCCGAGCCTGCAGAGAGGCGTTAGCCTCTGACGCCCGCCGCTCTTGGGCGGCAGCTGCGTCGAGGATGCCGCGCGCGTCCTGGATCCTCCTCTCCAGGTCCTCGGCATGAGCCTCATATTGGAGGCAGATGTCGCCCAGCGCCTCGTCCAGGACGCTCGAGGCGATCAGTGCCGCCTGCCGCTCCTCCTCCGTATCCCGCATGAGGGAGTCCAGGACCTCCTCGCGCGCCTGGATTTCGGCTAGTTGGGCTTGGCGCATTTTGCGCTCCACCCTCACCATGTCATCCACGGCGCGTCGCTCCTCTTCGACCCGCGCGCGGTCCGCGGCGAGCTAGGCCCACTCTGCATCCAGGCCTAATTTTTCTATAATCAACATGTTCTCTTTTTTGCGTTTTTTGTAAAAATTTTCTATAGGAAAATTGCTTTAAAAAATCATATTAATCCATTTTTGAAATTTAAAATAGTTAATACTCAATTAATCATAAGCTAATAGCTCATCTCGTTTTGCGTATCTTCCCAATCTCCTCAATCCCCTTCTCCTCAAACACACCCTAAGTTGAGTTTAGATTTAAGATTTGTGAGAGTGTATTTCATATCTACGCATATCTCTAGTAGTTTTTTCATAAATTTACAAAATTTTTAGATATGATTTTCATGAGTTTTCACATTTAGCTTGTTTTCACCAAATATGTCCTCTTTTTATACACCATATTTCCGGCAGGTAACAGTTAATCAATGTGACATATATGAGGTTGTGCTTGTGCACGCAGAACAGTGAGGACGCGAGGCTGGAACGCGTCCTGAGGGCGGCGGCGATGGCGAACGGCACGGTGATCCTGACGACGCTGAACTCGGCGTGGGCGGAGCCCGGGTCGGTGGTGGACGTCTTCCTCGAGAGCTTCCGGATCGGCGACGAAACGAGGTGGCTCCTCGACCACCTCGTCATGGTCTCCCTCGACCTCACGGCGCACCGCCGCTGCCTGCAGATCCACCGCCACTGCTTCGCCCTCACCACCGACGATGGCTTCGACTTCTCCGGCGAGAAGAACTTCATGACCGACGGCTACCTCAAGATGATGTGGCGACGCATCGATTTCCTCGGCCACGTTCTTGCCAAGGGCTACAGCTTCATCTTCACGGTAAAAAGAGAAGAAAAACAATAAAACTTAATTTTAAAATTGATTTTAAGGTTTTCATGTAGTTTATTTTTATATGGTTATGAACATAGATATAAAAGTTTTATCTATATATTATATTTTTTATCACTTATAAGTTGTGTTCCTTATGATCCATAGTAAGCAATTGTAAGCGAAACAATGGCTTTTCTAATCAAATCTTTTGCTCAAAGAACATACTATTCTTTTTGTTCAAAGTCTGAACTTTGTGAAGGTTTGTTTCGTCAGGACACGGACATCGTGTGGTTCAGGAACCCGCTGCCGCACCTGCACCACGACGGCGACTTCCAGATCGCCTGCGACCACTTCACCGGCGACCCGGACGACCTCAGCAACAGCCCCAACGGCGGGTTCGCGTACGTGCGCTCGACCTCGGCGACGGCGGCGTTCTACCGGTACTGGTACGCGGCGAGGGAGAGGCACCCGGGTCTCCACGACCAGGACGTGCTCAACCTCATCAAGCGCGACGCCTACGTCGCCCGCCTCGGCGTCAGGATCAGGTTCCTCAGCACCGACCTCTTCGCCGGCCTCTGCGAGCACGGCCGGAATCTGAGCACGGTGTGCACCATGCACGCCAACTGCTGCGTCGGCCTCCGCCGGAAGGTCGACGACCTCGGGCTCATGCTCCAGGACTGGAGGAGGTTCATGGCGACGCCCGGGAGTGACCGGCATTCTGTCACCTGGAGTGTGCCTAGGAATTGCAGGTGATTGATTTTCCGAGAAGAAGCTGTTCGCGCTTTGTGATTTGATTAGTTGCATGTTTTGTTCTGATTAGTTCTCTTGTTCTTGTGATGATTTGTTCTTTTGCAGTATGAAGAAACTGGGGCGGTAGGAGATTGGAAAGATTAATTGTTTAATTGCAATGTGTTAGTTTAGAGCCAACACTTGCTGTTGTCTGTACCATAGATGAGATGCTGACTGGAACAAATGAACATGCAGGTAATTGTCGTTGACAATACTACTCTTCTTGATTAGTGCTTTCTAAGTTGGGAAGTGACAGTACAAATTTAGTCAAGGTATACAGCTTAATTAACTGTAGAAAACCCTCTTTTTTAATACATTTTTTCCACGCTCTGTAGTTCTTTCGCATCTAATCCCCGATCTGAACAATTGACCAAATAATGTGTTACTGATAGCTTTGAGATAACTTCAAGCTCATAGATACATTTTGTAGCGGCATTTCTCTGAAACATGAATTTTACAACGGCATACGCCCAAATTTCCAACGAAAAACAGTGTCCATTTCGTTGTCCTGAATCCACTGCAATGGCATTCGAGCTCATGGAGCTCGCACGGCCGCATTGTCATGACATACCTGTAGACAGAATTAGTGAAATGGATATGAATTCAGACCTGGAGCAGAATGACCGAAATGTTGAGAGTTTGGTGCAATAACAGAAAAGTTTCTCCTACCGCTGCTGATGCTGATGCCATGGACGATTAAACCCATAATATAAACTCTGCAAACTTCCACAGAACAGCCTAGCAGCAGGAATGGAAGAGGCAAGCACAGGAGAGAGAGGCAAAAGTGAAGTCCAGCTTCAAACTGAATCTCCTGCTCCTCTGCATGCCCCTTCCACTGCTGCTGCTACAGCCAAAAAACCAGACCTAACATAACACCTACCTATCCCAAACCAAATTTTGCTGTGGCTGCTGCTGATGCATCCATTGGTGAAGGGTGGCATATTTGTACCCCGGCCATGGTGCACTGGTAGTAGTACAAGTTAGCTGCAGTACATATGGGGGGGAGATCGTTAGGGGCGGCTTGTACTTCAGGCTTGCAAATATCATCAGTGTACTATGGCTTTCAGCTGTACTCTTGTACTGCAGAAGCGTTGGAGCAAACGCTCTAACGGCGACGGGTAAGCCACAGATCCGTTGAGGAGGTCGTGTCGTGTGCGCCACAGGCTTCACTTTCAGTGACCCCGTCGCCGTTGTCTTAATGCAGGAAGAGGTTCCTTTTCTTCTCACTTCGCTTGTGTGATTGAGTTGCTACTAGTACTACCTATCAGTGATTAATCATCCAATCCATAATTTTGACAAGGGTCCAGTCTGTCATGTGACGTAGGATCGATTTATATCGCATCAGATCTCCAACAAGTTGAACGCCACGACATGTATGCTGTACTAGTATCGTCTGATGTACTCCATGCCAATATGTGAAGTACTACTCCGCAATTTTGAAAAAAAAATTGTCGCGAATGATAGTACAGATTAAAATGTTAAATACTCTCGTTTTTTAATACATACCATTGTTCGTCTTATTAGAATATTTTTACGAAATGCATAAAATATAAATCATGTTTAAAGTACTTTCAATAAAAAAAACTCACAACAAAATAAATAATAATTAATTTATTTTTTAAAAATTAAGATAATATATGTTCAAAAGTCAATGCTGTCATGTATTTATAAAAGTGGGTTTAGTAAGATACAATAAATGTGAGCATTACAGAAAACTCTCCCATCATCCCATCCGTCCATGTGGTAACCGGTGGACTATGGAACTATAGAAAAGCATCGGGCTGTGCGCAGCGCGTCCCTCTATGCGATTGAGCCAGAGCAGGTTCGCACTTACGGCACCGAGGGTCTATTTGAGGAGCTTAAAATTCTGAGAAATAACTAATTGGTTGTAAACTTTCGAGAATCTGAAAAAAAAAGTTGGGTTTTTTTTCTACCTTATGGCTTCTAATTTATGGCCTGTTCACTTTAATAACAAAAAAAAACATTACCAAATTTTGGCATTGCCAAAATTTTGGTATAGTTGTCAAATTTTTGGCAGGATTTTTTACATAGTTATCAAATTTTGACAGCAAATTAAATGTAGCCTTTTTTTTTGACAACTTTACCAAAATTTAGTAATGTTGAAAATGTCATCAAAGTGAACAGGCCCTTAAATTACACAACTATAACTTTGTAGAATAAAAAATTAAACTGATAAGAGAATATCTGATTTTGGCTGACATAAGCTTCCCCAGCAGAGACCAAGTCTGATGGTAAAAGCGGTGCCTCTCCGTGCCGCCTGTGGAAGCTGTATGCGTGATGCGGACAACAAAACAACCACTTCATTCGTCCTAAAATATAATAGCTTATGATCGGATAAGATACATCGTAATACTATAAGTCTAGATAGAGATATGTCTAGATTTATAGTATTGTGATATGTAGTATCTAATAATAGGTTTTTATATTTTGAAACGGAATTAGTAAGATCCGAGACGCGCGCAAATAGACCTTCCGTGGATAGACGTGACGTACAGCATCCTTGTATTGCTTGATTTGCTACACGTGCTATTTTTTTCGCCGGGCCGGTCTATGACAGTTTGAGATGATATGGGCTGCCGAAATTCGAAACCTCATGACTTCAGACTTCAGAATTCGGACAAAACAGACGCATGTGGCACAAACACACAGACAGAAGAAAGTAAAACAAGACTCGAAAAGAAAAAAATCCTGAAGTCTGTACCAAAGTTCAGTATTACACCTCACAGAAAATGGCCCGTGTCTGCAGCTGTGTTTCTTCTTCGACAGTCATGCGTTCCTCTGTCGAAGGGGAACAACGTACGGGCAGCCAATCCGAGCACAGTATATATAGTATAGCAGTTCTGCCCGGGGACAGTCAATGTGTGTGCTTCGTTACATTATAGGAGTATATATTTCTGCACCTACGCGAGCCCGTACTTGGACAGTGGTCTTAGTTTTCGTACACTTTGCACTCGTCGGTCTCCGGGTTGTCCTTGCAGAAGTCCTCCAGTGGGTCGCCGCTGCCCTGCACCGCCGCGCCGGGCCACTTGCTCGCCACCAGATGCGCCAGATCGACCACGCGTTGGCTGCACAAAACCGCACACGAATACACGATCGATCAGACGCCGAGCAATGCAATTGCAACGCACGCAGTAACATGTGTTGTTTGTTTGCATTGCTGATTGCTCTCACCTGTAGCCCCACTCGTTGTCGTACCAGGCGACCACCTTGACCATGTCGTCGCCCATGACCATGGTGAGCGAGGCGTCGATGGTGGAGGAGACGTCGGAGCAGCGGAAGTCGACGGACACCAGCGGCACGTCGCAGACGTCGAGGATGCCGCTGAGTGGCCCCGCCGCGGCCTTGCGGAACGCGGCGTTCACGTCGTCGGCGGTGATGCCGGTCTTCACGGTGTTGATCACCAGGTCCACCACGGACACGTTCGGGGTCGGCACGCGCAGCGCGATGCCGTTGAGCTTCCCCTTCAGCTGCGGGAGCACCAGCGCCACGGCCTTCGCGGCGCCGGTGCTCGTCGGCACGATGTTCAGCGCCGCCGCCCGGGCCCTCCTCAGGTCACGGTGCGACGCGTCCAGCAACCTCTGTGTTAGTCAATCATCAAACACAGCACACGCAGAATGTATCAGCCTCTGCACGTACGAAATGCTGCAGCGATCATCGATCAATCAATTTACTCGTTTTGATCAGAAAACCGACCGACCTGGTCGCCGGTGTAGGAGTGAGTTGTGGTCATGGTTCCCTTTACGATTCCTGCACATGCGTCACAACACAGTCAGGAAACACATGTTGCCATACGTATTGTGCTTCAGGTTAAGGCGAGCGATTAAAGTTCTTACCGAACTCTTCGTCCAAGATCTTGACGAACGGAGCGAGGCAGTTGGTTGTGCAGGAAGCATTGCTGCAACACAAGAAACAGAGTTCTTATGCATGTTGCAGAGTTTGATATGCATATATATTGAAGTGGTGGTGTTTGCTTTTGCTTACCTGATAATGTTGGCCACTTCGTGGGAGTAGTCTCCCTCGTTGACACCGAGGACGTAGGTAGGGATGTCAGCACCCTTCGCCGGAGCAGTGATGATGACCTTCTTCGCGCCGGCCTGGATGTGCTTCCCGGCGCCGGGGCCGTCGACGAACACTCCGGTACCCTTCATGACACACACAGCAATGCAGCATTGTCAGTTCTGTTCCCTGCAGATTGAGTTCACAGTCAATTGTCGATTTGTGTACCTCGATGACAATGTCGATGCCGAGCTCAGCCCATGGCAGCTTGAGGGGGTCCCTGTTGGAGACGACCTTGATCAGCTTGCCGTCGACGCTGATGGTCTGGTCGTCGACGATCTTGACGTCGGCCTTGAAGGTGCCGAGCATCGAGTCGTACTTGAGAAGGTGTGATGCCTGAAATAATTAACACACGCAGAGAACAAAATTATATCGGAATCAGTCATTGATTAGTCTGTGCTTGATTACGTTCAGGACAAGCTTTTCTGAAGGATGAGTACTTGTACTTACGTTCCTGACGCCTCCGCTGTCGTTGACGACGACGACCTCGAGCGGGGAGTTCTCGCGTTCGTGCCAGCACCGGAGGAAGTTGCGGCCAATGCGGCCGAAGCCGTTGATGGCAACCTTGAGCTTCGCCTCAGCCGGCGCCCTCACGGCGTTCTCTCCGGTAGCCTGCCACAGGTTGAACAATTCATTCAGGACTTGCGCTTACAGTCAGAATACACGTCTGTACAATACATGATATTGTGGTTGGCGAGGCATCCAAAAACGATAACTTGACCAACTTGTCATTATAGTCTTGAGTGCATGATACTGGAACATTTATCTACCTAGTACTGTAATACACGCACGGAATATTAGTAACTAGGATAATGTCCTATGCAATTTTTGACCGTTTGAAGTTGTGGTTTGTCCCAATATAGCTCATGTCTTATTTTCTATTTCATCTATTCCAAAATATAAGATATTTTCGATTCAGATTCATGTACTAGAGATTGATGGAGTAAGTATAAAAACTCATTGGTTGTGTCCAACATAAGAGACTAGAGATGTAAATCATGTGTGATCTACCAGCAAAGATAAAGTTTCATCCATCTAGTGAAGAAGCACGCAACATGTCGCTGTTATTTCACAAAAACGGCTATTAATAAGGTGATTATTTTGTCTTATCTACACACGCTGTGAGCGTTTGCGTTTATACTACATTTTTTGTTTTTTAAAAAGAACCCAACTATTGAATTTCCAGAAGTTTGTAACATATAATAGCAGTATAAATACTTTTGCTAAAAAAAAAACAAGTAACGAAAACTCTGTATTTATTTATGTACAACGATTACTACTGTTTTCCATAGCCAAAAGGGACCATCTTACGTTACTCATCAGGTTAAACTGTAGTCATACTAACGTGCGTGGTAAATTCTACAGTTTGTTATCTGAAATACTGAATTGTGCACAGGTAAAAGGAAAAACAGAAAGCTACAGATCAATTTGTTAGCTAAGCTAAGCACAGGCACGTACCCTGGCGACGAGCTGCGAGCCAAGGACATCGGAGAAGGACGCCTCCCTCGCGGCGTGGCTGATGGAGCACGATCCCGGCCTCAGTCCGGAGAAGTCGGCGAAGTCCACCCTCTGCAACCGCACATTTCATCAGATCACCCGTAGCTTCACACGCAAAGCCGGATAATACCACAAGATCACGCACGCGCGCACCTGCTTGGACGCCGCCTTGCTGTGCAGCCGGGCGGTGGCCGGAATGCGGGACGCCGCGAGCGCTGCGTGTGTGGCCATGGCTCGTCGCTGCCGCCTGTATGCTTCTTCCTTCCTTAGCTCGCTCGGCTGGATGGATCGAGGCGGCCGGATGCGCGCGTATATGTACTTGGCGCGGAGGGCGCGGCGATCACCGCTGGGGCTTTGTGGCGTGGAGACCGGGGATAAGGCGATTGCACGCGCGCGCAGCCACCCGTTGCGCGGAAGGCGATATCCGTGTGTGTGACTCTGGTGGCCTCGTAGGTGAAACACAAATATCTCTCTGCAGTGCGCGCCCGCGCGCGCTCCCGTCGTTGTCTCCGCTGCTTTGTTTCTCGTCGCCGTGTGCCTGCGCGCTTGCTGTCACCGTGTCAGCCTGTAGTTTAAACTGGTGAGACGTGAGAGCCTGGCTGCGTGGGGCTCATTTTTTTTTTCGCCATTTCTGTTTGGATTAGGATACTGACATACTGTTATTCTTTTTGTGTGCTCTGTGTGGTTCATGGTTTTATGGCCATCGGTGTAGCTTGTATGCATATATCTTTTCTTTGATAAAAGAAGATCACTGGACAGGCAAAATGGGGTGTACCTTATATGGGCATTTCAACAGAAAAATGGAAGCCACCAAAACTGAACATGAGATAAATTTGTCCCTGCCAAAATTGAGCAGTGCCATTTATAATTCCAAAATTTTCAAAAAATTTAAGAAGGGAGAAGGTTTGAGTCAGCGGTCAAACCGAACTACCAAAGCCACATCGAATGGGCTCAAAGCCCAAACACTGGCTAGCCCACCACTTAACACGGCCCACGGCACTGAACCTATCAAAACCTCTCTTCTCTCTCTCCACCGCCGCCGCCGGTCTGCGCCGTCTCACTCACGCTCAGGGCCGCCGCGACGCCGTGTCCCTCTCCGCCGCCGCCGCCGCCGCCGCCGCTAGCCTGCGACGCCCGACCTCGCCGACATGTTGCAGAGCAAGACCTTCGTGAAGAAGACGAGGGCAGGCCGCGTCCAGAAGGTAACTACTCGGCAGCAGCATCACCCTGCGCGCGGCGAAGGTGCCCCCAAACCCTAGCTAACCCGGAGTTCCCCCATTCCCGCAGGTGGTCAGGGAGCACTACCTCCGCGACGACATCTCCTGCGGCGCCGCCTCCTGCTCCACCTGTGGCGCGGTCGAGCACCCGCTCTCCGCCGACGCGGCCGCCATCCTCGTCGTCGACACCAACGTCGTGCTCCACCAGGTTGGCCTTTCCCCTCCTGTTGCCTGTAGGGAGTAGAGCTAGGGATTCCGGAGGCTGATGTTCTGAGAGCTTGCTGCAGATCGATTTGCTGGAGAATCCAGCGATTGACGATGTTGTCCTACTATCGGTTGTGTTGGATGAGGTGAAGAATAAAAACCTCGCAGTGTTCAACAGGATCAAGGCCCTGTGTTCTAACAAGGCAAGGAGGTTCTTCGTGTTCACCAATGAGCACCACAGGTGTGCATTCGATACCTTAGGATTTGCTCGATGGCTATTATGATTTGTTATGTGAATCCAGTATACAGTTGCTCAGTTCTTATCTGAACCAAAACATGTTTAAATTTATGGTTAACAGAATGGGGTAGAGAAACCACCTAGGTTGTTAAAGAAGTATATTTTAGTTGCTAGTACTAGGGAGAAGATTTATCTAAAAGCTCTACCCTGCATCTGATGTTCCACAACATTTCCTTTTTAACAGACTCAGATTTATGTTGGGCTAATTTGATTTTGGGATTTCCTAAATCCCTCTTCAAATGTTTCTTCTCCAAACAGCATATCTTTGGTGTGCATGACAGTCGGACCTCAATTTTAGCACTATCTGCCTGATTATATTTGCAAAAGTCTCTCTATGCATGCACTGTTGCACATCTACACTCTGCAATTTTTTTTAAAATATTCTTGTCAGCAAGCTTGTATAGACCAACAGAATTTGCAAATTTCTCGTGATAAATTATCTCTTGCAAGTACATGTCCGTCCTTATGTTTGCGAATTTCTTTAAACACGAAGAAAATGAGTGCACTTCCAGTTCCTTATGTGGTCTTCTTGGTTTAAAATTACACCATTCTCTTCCAAAAAAAACAGGGATACATATGTCAAAGAGATGGTTGGAGAGAGCCCGAATGATCGCAACGATAGAGGTACTGTACCAAATAATTCTGTTAGCTTGCTTTATCTCATATTTTGCACTACTCGAAGTACTTTTGTGTATTCTTTTCTCTTGATTGGTCATTCATATTCAGCTATTCGTGTGGCTACTCGTTGGTACCAAAGTCATCTTGGTGAGAATGTGAAAGTTTTGCTGATCACAAATGATAGAGATAACAAACGGAAAGCTATTGAAGAAGGCATTAATGCTGAGACAGGTGAAATTATGGATGTTACAAAAATGTTAGCTGGATCTTTTCAAATATTGGACACATTATTTTTTCTGGTAATCACAACACAATATTTCTGGTTCCAGTGGAATCATATGTACGATCTCTTGCACAGCCTGGTTTGCTCGATTTAGTGGTTGTTTCAACTAGTGGAGATGTCACAATGGAAGATGTAGAAGATCTTAGACCGTCCAAAAAGAAAGTAATTTACAGTGAGGTACAGTAAATTTAAACTGTTGACTTGTGCTTGTTTTATTGGCGTTGGCCATCTAGTATCAAATACGAATATGTAATTTCTTGCTATCATTGCAGCACAAACCTATGTCAGAAATTACAGCTGGCCTGCGGTGTGGAATTTATCATCAAGGGAAGCTCCGAGTTAATCGTTACAATCCATTTGAAGCTTACGTTGGAAGTGAGAGCATTGGTGATGAGATTGTTATTCATGGCCGTTCAAACATGAATAGGGCTTTTGATGGAGACATAGTTGCTGTTGAGCTCTTGCCACAAGATCAATGGCATGAATCGAAGTCATTTATTGCAGACGACGATGGTACGTTCTTCAGATTCCAGCACATGATTTTTCCCTTACATTGATGGATGTTTCTGTTCTTTCAGAAGATGATGAAGAAGACGTCCATTTGGCTCCAAATAGTGCTGATGATGCTCCACGGAAAGCCAATCCCACACAATCAACAGCTGCATCATCAGCTGATTCTGTCTCTAGTCGCCCAGTTGGACGTGTTGTTGGTATAATCAAGCGAAATTGGAATTCGTAAGTCTTTTATAAGATAGGGATATGTTTTTGTAATTACAATATATACTCCTGATTTGGAAATAACCTGAAGAGATGCATAGTTTATGAATCTTGTTTGTATACATATTAGACGGATGCAAATTTTTTGGGCTCAAGGTTTTATTCACCCATTATGAAGTTATGATCTATACGTTTCAACAAAAAAATGTCCAAAATTTTGTATGTGTGAACTGCTAAACCGTCCAAAATTTCAACAACTAAATTGTCCAAAGCTGTCCAAACCATAACTTGCGTGCATTTTTATATTTCAACGTGTTAATAGTACCTAATAGTTTTAAAAATATTTCCTCCCTGCTATTTCATGCATGCGTTGTTTATCCATTTTTCACCGGTTAGAATATGGATTGTTTTCTGTGCTTAGATTGTCATCTACCAAAACTATTCAGTCTATAATTGCAATTTACCTTAACTGTTTTATGTGCTTCACATTCATACAATGCCTGCAAACGGCAGGTATTGTGGGTCCTTGGAGCCAATGCCCATGCCTGCTGGTAGTGGAGGCGTTGCTCATGCTCTATTTGTGTCTAAAGATCGACGAATCCCAAAGATTCGAATTCAAACTAGACAGCTTGGCAATCTTCTGGACAAAAGGATTATTGTTGCAGTTGATTCATGGGATGTCTTGTCTCGATACCCATCAGGACATTATGTACGGACTATAGGAGATATTGGTGACAAAGATACTGAAACAGAGGCAAGTCTTACAATTTTACAGCTGCATTTCACACTTTGTGTTGCAACATTTACTTTTACTATGTAGGAGCATGCACTGATGCTAATGTGCTAAGTGATATTTGTGCGTGGAACAGGTTGTCTTAATAGAGAATGATATCAACACAAGACCTTTCTCTACACAAGTCCTTGCTTGTTTGCCACCATTGCCATGGACATTATCACCTGAAGATCTTGCTAATCCTAATAGACAAGATTTACGCCATGTGAGAGTCTTTAGTGTGGATCCGCCTGGTAAATAAATCACTGTCATGCATTCTATTTATATTTCTGTAGTTGGATTGAATTCTTATGGTTCAACTGCTGTTTAGGTTGTAGGGATATTGATGATGCGCTACATTGCACGCCACTCCCAAATGGGAATTTTGAAGTTGGAGTTCGTATCCTTTACTGATTTATTTTTTATTTGCAGAATTCAAAATTGGAATGCTAATTTAATCTTAAGGGCACTTACACTTTGAGATGGTTCTCAACCTGTCCACTTTCTTCTAGTTTATTGCTTTATTTTGGCTTCATTTCATCAGATTGTCAGTATGCACTGTTCCATCCACCTAGATTGAGTATCACATAAGTTTGGATCTGTAGTTACAGATGGAAGTAGCAAATATGCAAAGCATGCAATTTTGTTAAATGTATGTATCATATATATCTACACAGGCACTAATCAGAAGAAGTGTAACTCTATGCTGGTTGTTCGTATTAATTCTATCTGGTCTGTGCTTAGAGCAATTAAACTCCTCGAGGAATTTAACACATCAAGGACATAAAGTTTAAGTTAGTTACTTTTCATTATTAAAGGTCATTCAACACTCTTGGACATTGCTGTTGTAGAATAATTATTTGAGGATCCATGTGCTACTTGGGATGCTTGAAAGTCCTTGTGTCCTTCTACAAGCCAATTTACCTAAGCTATCTGTCATGGTGTCATTGATATGAATTTTCACACGTCATGTTTCTTTCACTTTTATTTCACGCACCTTTTATACTGTTTGATTTGGAGATTGCATTTCTTGACTCGGGATGACTAGATATTGCTGACGTCACTAACTTTGTTCATCCTGGTACTCCTCTTGATGAGGAGGCCTCACAAAGGGGCACTTCTGTATATCTTGTTGGACAGCGAATTGACATGCTTCCAAAGCCTCTTACTGAAGGTATCTCTATTACTTATGTCGTATGCACACTGGATTAACCCAAAGCGGAACGTTTCTATTTCAATTTAAGAATACTCATATAATGTTAAAGTATTAGTGAAAGTAACTAATGATCTTCTCAAATATGCTGG